AGAAAGAATAAAAAGATGAACGGTGTTCAATTCAATACAAGATGGCGATTGACGTTGCATTTAAACTTTTGAAGACTGTACTTATCAGTGAAGCGAGTAAACAGAAGGGAGTCCCATAGCTGGGAAGTGCGAGAAAAAAAATTTGTAGTAGACGTGAGGTTACATTTATTTAATTCAGCAGTAAAAGTGTGGGACCTAGATGCCAATCTAGTAGCAGGCTTAAACTCACGTAGTCTGGGCACCAGAGAAAATAAGATTTTCTTGAAGTATTTTTCTTTCACATTTTCTTACATTGATTTTATCAACTCGAATTCCTTCTTTTTCTGGTAGCTTTTTCATCGCGTTTTTATATTCTGTAACCCTTTTTCTTTTTAGCCAGCCGTTTACTTTCATTATTTATTTGTGATATAGCGTTGTTGAGGCTAGTGTGGTTTACGGTTATTTCTCACTCGTGAATTTGACATGAAATTTTCCAACAAGGGTTGATACATCGTAAAACCAAACAATTACCTGCTGGTTTTCATATGCCTTTTCTGTCTTTCAGTCCTGCTTTTTATCATATATATTTATTTATTTGTTCATATATTACCACCTCAGCGTCTTTCTAATTCCTTTTATTAATTCGATATTTTCAGAGTTTATACTGCACTTCCTTTATTTGTTCCTCCTTTCTTTCTGTTATATATATGTTTTAGCATACCTACGGACGATAATGGCTATGCCCCCCATTCACACACACACACACACACACACACACACACACACACACACACACACACATATATATATATATATATATATATATATATATATATATATATATATATATATATATATTTTAAGCATTACGCCCTGAGCAAGGCGTGAAGCCACTAGGAGGTTGCAGAAGATTTGGAGCGAGAGCAAATAGGAGAGATAGAAGAAAGGATGAGGAGAAGGATAGTGGGTAGATCAAGGTAACTGGAGATGTCGATTGACATTACATTTGAATAGTTGGAGATTATAGCTCTCAAGGAATCAGTAATAGGGAAGGGTGTCCCACAGGCGAGAGGTGCGAGGTATGAAGCTATTGGAGTAGAAGAGACGGCTACATTTAAAAGTTTCTACAGTGAAAGGGTGAGAGCGGGATGCCAGCCACATAGGGCGCTCGAATTCATGAGGTCTGGAACCAGGAATACCATGAAATTACCATTAAAAAAAAAGACAGAGAGAGGCGACGGCGCGTCTGTGAGAGAGCAACTGTAGACCATATGCCAGATCAGGGCCAATTATATTACATATCCGCCTCTGGATCTTGTCAAGAAATCCGAGGTAAACAGAAGGTGCACCAGACCATATATGGCAGCAATACTCCATGCAAGGGCGAATGGTTGATTTGTATATTTGAAGTATCGATTCCGGGGAGAAAATTTTCCTGGCGCGGAACAGAGAGCCAATTTTCCTCGCGGTGGACGAAGCAATGGACTCAATGTATTTGCTCCATCACAGGTCAGCAGTCAACGTGAGACCGAGCAGACGCAGAGAGTTGCTCTCAAGAGGTTGACTATCAGACATTCTAATGTGGGGTAGGGCAGGATCTCTATGGTGATTAATAGAGAGTAGTTTAGTTTTTGAGGCGTTAAAGTTGACCAGCCAATTCTTGCCCCAATTAAGAACCGATTGGAGGTCCATTTCAAGACGAACGGCCAGGTTAGATTAGTCTGCAGTCGGAGATTCGTCTCCAGTTGTTCTGGTCAAACTCTTTGCCACTGGGTAGAGAGAATTCCCATACGAGGCTATGTCGAACGGCAGATTCTCGTCTCGGGAAGCAGCTACCCGACCCCATTTATTTATGGGGTCTACGGGGAATTTTTGGCTCGAATACCCCACATTAATTTCGGCCTTGTCCCACATCTGTCCGCATCGGGCAGTTGGTAGATATCTTGCAATTGGAGATTCGTCTCCAGCTGTGCAGGTCAAAATTCCGCCTCAAAATCACCAAACGAGGCTATGTCGGAGGACAGTCTCGTCTCGGGAGACAGCTTGCCGACCCCGTTTTTTACGGGGTCTACGTGGAAAATTTGGCCGAGCCTACAGGCTCGGATACCCTACATTAAATTCGGCCTTGTGTCACATCTGACCGCGTGCGGCTGTTGGTAGATATCATCCTGTTGGACATTCATTGTGGAATTCACTTGACTCGCTTCTAGTAGTTGACTACTTCTACGCGCCGCTGGCGAATCTTATATGTGTTGTTCGTGTCTTAAGTATTATCGTTCATTACCAACCTTCGTGTGATTATTCTATTGATAACCTTCCTTAGGTTACAGTTTATGTTCATTTTCTCCGCTTTTCTTTATTCGTTTTAGTTTATTCGTTCTCTTTTAAATAATCTCACATCAGCGCTGTGCTTGCTGTCTTATAAAACATTAAAACCTATCTTCTTGGCTACTTTTTCTTCTCAAGGCCTAAACGATCATGGATCTCTACAATTTCCTGTCCTTTGTAGCTCTTAATAGATTTTGTCTTTATTATTTCTCCCAAACTCAGTTCCACCATTCATTTAGTCAGTCTCACTTTGTATGATACGTGTTGTTTTCCTCTGTCTTACTTGTCTTCAATCTGCTCTCATTTCTTAATTATGGGTCCTAGAAATTTCAGAAGTTAAATACAAGTTTCCGTTTTGTTTCCGTTTTCCCTAAATCTTCGTCATTGCTCATATATTCGGTCCATGCTAACCTCGGCACCCTTCTGTAGAATCATATTTCTGCTGCTTCACGTCTCTTCTTCATCTGTGAGGAGATTGTCCAGTATTCACTGTCATATATGAGGACAGATATCTCATCACAGTTCAGTACTCTTTTCTTTGTTTCTAACGAAGTTTATTTTTATTTTATTTTATTTTTTTGGTTAAGGGGTCCACCCCTTTTTATACAAGTGGTCTCGCCCAATGTGAACTTGTTCTACTGCCGGTGAATACCCGGGAGTGAGAGAGTGAGAGTGTGAGGTAACCGCTTTGTAGGAGTCACAGTTGCGAGCACGTAGACTCAGAAGGAAGTCATACTTCTATATTGAAATTCCCAGACTGTATATATATTATTATTGCTACTAACCGCATTTCTGGATCTACTAATCGTATTACCAATTGTATTATTACGGCAATACATTTATTTGCTATATTTCATTCCTGCCTTTGTCATTCATTTTAGGCCGGATTTCATCCCGAAAAACCACAACATTTTTGTTTCTTAATATTCTTCTGGATTTTGGAATGCATCTTTGGCTATCTCAGTACGCCCTCGACCTGTTGCTAGATGCATTACAAATATATTTATCATTATCTTTTTTTTTTAGAATAAAGTTCATCTAATACCAGGTTCAATAGACACTCGTGGTAATCCGTTATTGAACGAGGAGTACTATATGAATGTAAGCGGTAATGGGGAGAATCAAAGACTATGGTGCGGTGATTTAAAATTATCATCCTAGGCTCAACGTTGGATATTCCCACTGGGTTGGCGCACGTTCAAATTTGACCAAATGGACATTCAAATTTTATTTATCAAAACTCTCGAATGTGTCGGCCGATAGACGTAAAGTTACACGGTTTGATATTTTAGTGACCATTGTTCCACTTGTGAAATACATTTCAGGTGTATATTTTTAATATCAGGTAATCATGGTATTTTAACACGGCGTGTGAGTACAATAAGTATTTTAGTATTTTCGGGATTATTATCGTTGAAATAATTTCTAATTATTGTTCTTCTGGTATCAAATCATATGCCTTAAGATTTGACGATTTTGTAAGCGTTGCGCAGCGCCGGAAGTATGAGACACACAGTGAGGATCGAACTTAATCTTCACTCGTGAATGATATGCTGAGACAACCTTGCTAGCCACGTCCTGGGTATGACGATAAACTGCATCCGCGTCCTGGGTAAGACGATAAACTACGTTCAGCAGCAAGGCCTCTGATCAGGAGGTTTTGAGGAGCGTGGAACCATCTCTTAATTGCTGGTGTTCCCAGGTCCAACCTGACCCAGGGTGGTAGCACCTGTTAGAGTCCCAGCTATGGGCAAATAGTTGACCCAACAACCTGACTGAAAACACTATGAACGTGTAAAAATAGATTTTAATACCAGAAATACTTTTTTTAAAAAAATAGTATCAGCAATAAATATGTGAAAAAAGAAAATATTACCAGAAATAAAAAAAAAACAAACTTGCCAGCATTAAATAACCCAATGAGATTAATATGCCACACAAGAAAACAAACCAAAACCATACATTTAAAAAAATAAAAAAAATATTACCAGCTATACATTTTTGGGAAAAAAAGGACATTTTGTCGGCATTAAACAACCCATTCTGGTTGATATCCCGTAGACCAAACCAAACCAAACCAAACCAAACAACCTTGGTAGCCATTACACCAAGTTAAAGTGTAAAAAATAATTTTCTAAGTTTAGCGGAAACGTGGCAAAAGGCCGAATAAGTGGAGCACCCAGTGAGGATCGAACTCATTGTCGTAACTGATCTAGCGAGACAAGCTTGCTAGCCATTATAAAAATTCGAAGTGCCGCTTCTGACCTAAAATATGTTTTAAAGACAATGGGAACTTTAGTTATACTAGTGGAACACTTGGAAATTAAGTGTTAAAAGAAAATTGGAGGATGTTTAAGCTTAATGAGATAAAAAATAATATCGTATAATGCATAAAATATACACAAAACCATTCAGCTTCCCTCCCCGTTGAGTTCTCATTCAAATATTATTTATTTCGCACATACGTATCGCCTCTCTGGGTAATTCAACACTTTTAAAATTTCACATCTGCTTCCTCCAGCCATTTTCTCTTCCTCTTCCTCTATCACTCTCGTTTGTTTTCCTTCTTTCTCCATCATTTCTCAATTTCTACTCGGTTATCGTTCAGTTCCTTTCAATTATTTTTTTTTTCGCCATAGTTTATTCTTTTTTTTTTTTAATTATCTTCTTTCTGTCAGGCCTTATTCCGTGAAATGTTCACTTCTTTTACTCTGTCTTCTACTAACACTGATGGGCATATGCACTTTCTATCATTTTTTTTATTGTTTTTCTTCCTTGATGCGTTGGATCAATCCATTCAACTGCTTTTATACCTTAACTAAATCCACCTCGAGTGTTCTTCCTTCCAACGTATGAGCTTTCACCTCATGTTTAATATTTGGAAGATGAAACCTCTTGATTTAATTAGCGTCCGTCTTTTAGTAATTCAATTTAACATATATATATATATATATATATATATATATATATATATATATATATATATATATATATATCTTCTTTAAATGCATATATATGTATTCATATACATATATATTGAATTGAAATAAGTGTATATTCAAGTGATAATAATATATATATATATATATATATATATGAATGTATGTTTAGATATGTTTGTATTTATATATATTTATATATATATATATATATATATATATATATATATATATATATATATATATATTTACATTCATATATATATATACATGCATATATATAACAATATATATGTATGTATATATATATGTGTATGCATATATATTTATATATATATGTAAATATACATGTAGCACCTTTAAATACATATATATGTAATCATTATATATATATATATATATATATATATATATATATATATAAGTGATATATGTGTATATCCAAGTTATAATAATTATGCATTATTGTTATATACGTAGCACTATCTATATTATAGTCATATATGCATATATAATTATATATATATATATATATATATATATATATATATATATATATATATACACACAATATATATGTTATATATATATATATATATATATATATATATATATATATATATACACACATATATATCACTATATATATATATATATATATATATATATATATATATATATATATATATATATATTAAGTGAAGTTAAAATATATATTTATGCATATAGAAGACATATCAGTCAGTTAAATATATATGTATACTTATATGTATATACATTTATTTATATTAATCTATATGCATGTTCCTTTATATATATATATATATATATATATATATAGATATATATATATATATATATAGATATTGATGTGAAATATATTTCTAAATTCAAGTATTAAGAGATGAAGTGGAATATACCTATATTTGATTATTCAATTGATTTATATGTTATATTAAAATATGTATGCATTTATGTGTGCATGCATATATGTATATATATATGTATGTATATATGTGTATAGTTATTGATGTACATTATAAATTTATGATTTGTTTGGGATATTTTCACTCGACATTTTTTCTCTTCCTTCCTCCCATCATTTCAAATATCACTATCGTTATGACTTTTACTATACCCAACCCCGATTTACTGGACTTATCCCAAAGTAAAAATTATTCTTCTGTCAATTTTATTTCCTCTCGCTTCCTCCCATTATATTTTGTCCCTACTTCGCTTCCTACGCCTTCTCCCTCCTCCTCTTTTGACCACATTCTACTCCCACCCTTTGCATTCTGACTCTCTCTCTCCTACCATTTTAAATAGTTTCCATAATGTTTCATGTCGTTTGAAATCAAATAAGTTACCTGGCAGCATAACAAAATTAGTTTTTTTCCCTTTCTTTTCTCTATTCGATATTTATATATATATATATATATATATATATATATATATATATATATATATATATATATATATATATGTATACATACACACACACACACTCTTTAACTTTCTCTGTTACTTTAGTCCTTCTTTTCTTCGTCCTTTTCGTTTTCAGCATATAAATTCTTTTAATACTTTCGAGCGCGTTGCTAATTCGCCACAGTTTTTCGTCATATCAGGCTATCGCAGGAAGCCAATGAGATGTTCGCTTCCTCAATTTGCGACATCAAATGATTTCGCTCTAGAAGACTTTACCACTCCCTCTCTCTCATTTTTTTTCTATTTATTGTTGTATTTCTCTTCTCCTCCGCCTTCTCTTCCTACTTTGTCCGCCTTGATTATTTTTACTTTGCTGTCTTTCGTAAAAAAAAAAAAAATTAAAAAGAAAAAAATATTTAAAAAAAAAAACTACAAAAAGTATCATTCATCACTGTTCATCCATACATATTTTATTATACACACACATACACAGATACGCACATATATATATATATATATATATATATATATATATATATATATATATATATACATACATACATACATATATAGAGAGAGATTTAGCGTCGTTGTTATTCATTTATTTATTTAAAGATTATTTATTTTTAATTTATTTTATTATGCTGTTGCTAATATTTTTTGCTCATTTTGTCTGTATATTCAGTGATCCTAAAGTTTTATATATATATATATATATATATATATATATATATGAATGGGTGTGTGTGTATTTATATATATGTATTTCTTTTTAATAAACTTTGTTTTTAACATTTATCTTTTTTTGGTATTTGCAGTCAGTCTTTCCTAATTTCTTATTCTAGTTGAGCCCGAAAAATTGTCATTTTCAATTTGCGATCGAAATAAGAGAAGAGGCACTTCAGGCAAACAGAAGAAACAGTTTTGCCGCAAGGGAACACTTTCAAGTTCTAATCAACTCTCTCTCTCTCATTCTCGATCTCTTACTCTCTGTCTCTCTCATTTTTCTTTTTTCTTTTTTTTTTTGACATTTTTTTTTTCAATTTCTTTTACCTGTTTTTACCGTTCTTTTTATATTCACCTTTCATCAATATTTGTTCATATTTTGCTTTCATTTTCTTCTTTTTATTTTATTTTTTGTATACATTTATATGTTGATTTTTGATTTTCTTTTGCATGAATTATTTTTGTGTCGTTTTAGTTCCTCCCTTTTAATTTTCTCTCATGAGATTTTTCTTTATTTAATATTCCATTCCTTCCTTTCTTTATTTGATTCGTTTTTCACATTTCACCCTCTTAATTTAATTTCTCTTTCGTCTTTTTTCCCATTTTACTTTGAATGGTACACCGCAAAATTTGCCTGGATTTCTTTTCTTTTTTCTTTCCTTCCTTCCTTCCTTCCTTCCTTCCTTCCTTCCTTCCTTCCTTCCTTCCTTCCTTCCTTCTTGTTCGAACTCGGTTTCATTATTTTCTTTCTTTTCAATTTAAATGTATTTTTTTAAAGATTTTCTACCATCCTTTAATTCTATAATTTTCTCAGCACTATTTTTATCGTCTTCGATTTCTTTCTTTTTCTTTCTTTCTTTCTTTCTTTCTTTCTTTCTTTCTTTCCTTCTTTCTTTCTTTCTTACATCACATCTGATTCTTTCCTTCTTGTTTATATTTGTTTCTTCTTTTCTATCTTCCTTTTCATCTTTCTTTGTTCCTAACATTTGATTCCTTTCTACCTGTTTATATTTCCTTCCTTTTTTCTTTCTTTCTTTCTTTCTTTCTTTCTTTCTTTCTTTCTTTCTTTCTTTCTTTCTTTCACTCAGTTCAATCCTTCCCTTTACTTACAACTTTTTCACGTTTTACTTTTTTCTCAATATTTACCAATATTTCTTCGTTTTCTCAGTTCTCCATTTCTCTTTCATTATAAAGTTTTTTTTTGTCTGTCTATCTGTCTTTCTTTCTTTCCTTTATTTTATTCCTATTTCTTAAATTATTTTCTTTTCTTTATTCTTTTTGTTTCTTTATTTCTTTGTTTCATTGTTCCTTTCTTTTTTCTTTCTCACTCGAACTCCTTTTTTTCCACGTCTCTTTTTTATCCTTAATGCGTTTTTTTTTTTCTTTCTTTTTTTTTTTTTACCTCTCTTTCATTTTATAATTCAATATTTCTTTCAGCTATTTCATATCATTTACTTTCCTCTTTCATTTTACCTTCTTTCCTTTCTTTTTCATCATTCCTTTATTTTGTTTGTTTCTTTCTTTTTAAATTTTCTCAATTCAGTCTTTCGTCTTCGTACCGAATTTTTCTATCTTCTTTTCTTCTTAATTATCACGACTATTTTCTGTCTTCTTTTTATGTCAATTGTCCGCTTCTTTCTTTCTTTCTTTCTTTCTTTCTTTCTTTCTTTCTTTCTTTCTTTCTTTCTATCTTTCTTTCTTTCTTTCTTTCTTTCTTTCTTTCTTTCTTTCTTTCTTTCTTTCTTTCTTTCTTTCTTTCTTTCTTCTGAATCCTTTCCTATTTTTCCTTTCTTTTTCTCACAATTCTTTCCCTAATTTATTTATATTAACTTCTTTCTTTTACTTCATTTTCCTTCCTTCTTTCTTTTCGTTCCTTCTTTTTGTACGTCATTTTCTTTATCTCTATCCCTCTCCTCTCTTTGATATCATTTTTATTAACTAATATTATATTTAGTTTCTTTTATTACATTCTACTGTCTTTTTCTCTGTCTTTCCATATTTACAATTTTCTAATTCAGTTTTCCTTCTCCGTTCGTATATACACCTTCCTGTTCAATTTCCATTATTTATTTAATGATTTTACTTAACACTTTCTTTCCTCTGTGCCTCTTTTCATGTCATATTCTCCTTCCTGGTGGAAATCAGCGACACTAAGAAATGACTTGATTTTCGCATCTACTTTTAAAGATTCGTTTCTCACTCGCTCTCAATTCCTTCCTGTCATAAGTGTCCAAATGCAGGTGGCATTAAATAGGGATGTTTCAATCACCCTAACAAAAATTATTTTTGTATATATATATATATATATATATATTAGGTTTTTTCGTCCTTTGTCGTCAGTACTTTTACTTTTCTTTCAATTTCTCTTTTGCTCTTTTCCCAATTTCTCTTACAGATTCCGACATCTCAATTTTTCTTCATTTCCGTACAGAATTCATATTTGCCAGTTTTAAGCCTTAGTTATTGCCATTCCCCATTCCAATGCAACGATCAGCTGAACACGCAGCATTTCATATTTTATAATTTGGATAAAATTCAATTTGCCACATTTTATTTGTTGGTTTCTTTCTCTCTTTCTTATTTTTCAATATTCCTATATCCTATTTTCTCCCCATTTCCTAATACATTTTTCCCTATTCTTTTCTTTTCTTTCTTTCTTTCTTTCTTTCTTTCTTTCTTTCTTTCTTTCTTTCTTCGTTTGTCTGTTTCTGTCATTCTTTCCTTTTATCATATCTATCTTGCCTTTCATTGTTTTTTCTTCACTTTTTTCTTCTTGCTTACATTTTGTTGGAATATTTCTTTCTTTCATGCACTTTTAAATATTTTAATTCAATATTTCCTTTCGGCATTCTTTCTTTCTTTCTTCTTTCTTTCTTTCGTACTTTCTCTCTCATTTTTCATGATTTCTATGTCCTATTTTCTTCCCATTTTCTATTTTATTTTCCTTAATGTATCTTTCTCTTTGTTTTCCATTCTTTCTTTCCTTCTTTCTTTCTTTCTTTCTTATTTTTCTTCTTTCTTTCTTATTTTTTCTATATTCTTCCCATTTCTTAATTCTTATTCATTCTTATTTTCTTCCTTTGTTTCTGTGTTAATTTCTTTCTTTCTTATATAATATCTATCTTGTATTTTCTTCGTTTTTCCTACTTGCCATTTTTCTTCGTCATTACTTTTTCTTTGATTGTTTCTTTCTTTTTCATGCTCTATTTCATATATTACTAAGTCCGTTATTTTTTTCTTTTCTATTCTGTCTTTATTGCTTTCTTTCTTTCTTTCTTTCTTTCTTTCTTTCTTTCTTTCTTTCTTTCTTTCTTTCTTTCTTTCTCTCTTTCTTTCTTTCTTTAATCTCCATTCAATCATTTCTTTTTAAATTCATATTATTTTTTATTCCTTTTTTTTAATTTTCTTCTTTTTCTTTCCTTTCATAATTCCTATTTTCTATTTTCTTTTTCCAGATTTCATTTTTCCTTATTCATTCATTCTCTTTTTATCTATTTCTTTCTTTAATCACTATCCACTAATTTCTTTTCAATTTATATTCCTCTCTTTTTTTCATTCTTTCTTGCTTGCCTTTGACATTCTTGATGTGGTTTCAATGTTCAGTAAGCTTGTCTCGCTAGAACAGTTACGAGTCAGTAGTGAGTTCGATCCTCACTGAGTGCCTCATACTTTCGGGTTTGTACCACATCTAAGGCACGCTTAAAAAATTACCTTTCTTTCTTCTCGTAATTTTTAATTCCCTTTTTTCTTACTTTTTGTTTGATTGTTTATGCACTAATTTATGCCTATTAAATCCATATTTTCTTTCCTCTTTCTTTCTTTCTTTCTTTCTTTCTTATTTTCATTCATTCATTCTTTCTCTCTTTCTTATTTTCATTCATTTATTCTTTCTTTCTCTCTTTCTTATTTTCATTCATTCATTCTTTTTTCTCTCTTTCTTATTTTTATTCATTCATTCTTTCTTTCTTTCTTTTATTCTTTCTAATTTTCATTCATTCATTCTTTCTTTTTATTTCCATTCTTTCATTCTTTTTTATTTTCACTCTTTCTTTCTTTCTTTCTTTCTTATTTTCATTCTTTCTTTCTTTCTAATTTTCATTCATTCATTCTTTTTTCTTAATTTCATTCAGTCATTCTTTCTTTCTAATTTTCATTCATTCTTTCTTTCTTATTTTCCTTCATTCATTCTTTCTTTCTAATTTTCATTCATTCTTTCTTTCTTATTTTCATTCTTTCTTTCTTTCTTATTTTCATTCTCTCTTTCTTTCTTATTTTCATTCTCTCTTTCTTTCTTATTTTCATTCTTTCTTTCTTATTTTCATTCTTTCTTTCTTATTTTCATTTTTTCTTTCTTTCTTATTTTCATTCTTTCTTTCTTTCTTTCTTATTTTCATTCATTCATTCTTTCTTTCTTATTTTTATTCTTTCTTTCATTCTTTCTTCTTTTCACTCTTTCTTTCTCGTTTTCATTCTTTCATTCTTTCTTTCTTATTTTCATTCTTTCTTTTTTCTTTCTTATTTTTATTCATTCTTTCTTTTTCTATTTCCATTCTTTCTTTCTTTCTAATTTTCATTCTTTCTTTCTTATTTTCATTCATTCTTTTTTTCTTTCATATTTTCTTTCTTTCTTTCTTTCTTTCTTATTTTCTTTCGTTCTTTTAATTATTTCGATCTTCTTCCGATTTCCTCATTCACTTTCTTCTCATCCTTCATTTCTTTCTTTCGTTCTTTTCTATCCACAATCTTTTGCGTTTTTTATTCTTATTCTCTTTATTTATTTGTTTCTCCCTTTATCTTCCTTATTCCTACTATTTTTGCAATAATTATCTGCGACGTGAATATTATGAATAAATAGTATCGTGTAAATCAAATTAACAATTAAAAAAAAAAATTTCAACAGAAATTAGGACGACGAGATGATGAGAAATGTTATATACGATTATCACAGTAATTAATAGAATTATCAACCAGAGGATTTAACATTTCATAAAAAAAAAGCAATTTTGACAAAATAAAATTAATGACTTTAATATGAAAAAGGTGATAATGCTGAAATAATAATGTGAGCAAAAACAACACATCATGAAATTTAACACAATTAAAATAAAAGAAGTTACAAGCGAAATCATCAACGATGTCGTCATTATTATTTTTACCCGATTGTGTTGTCACACAGTGAAATACGTGTTTTTTAAAAACAATTTAAACCCAAGAAAGGCAATAAAGCTACTAAGACGCAAGTGGTTACTGAATGTGAAAGAATACAAAAGAAAGAAAAACACTTTTAAATAGAAATAAGAATAAAAGAAGAGGAAGTGTGAAGAAAAAATAACGATTGGCATTGCATTTAAATTTTTGAAGACCAAACTTGACTGGAACGCATGAAACCGGAAGAGAAGTCCACAAGCGAGAAGTGAGAGAGAAGAAACTGTTAGCATAGTAATTACGGTTACATCTATCTATTTAAAATGATGGGACCTAACCGCCAATCGAGTAATGGGCTTAAATTCATAAATTTTAAGTATCATGAAGGAATGTTAATCAGGAAAATGACCATGAAAGTATTTATTGAAAAGGCACAGGGAAGCTATATTACTTTCTATAAATACCATGTCAGCTAGTCTCCACACTTCTGCAGCGGCTTCCTTTCTATAGCCCTTCATAACATTTATGTTAATGTTATAGAATTCGTAAGATATCCCAAATTGGCAAACCCTACAGGAATGGCAAAAAATAAAAATAAAAAAAAATTGACGATCCCAACTGAGTGAGGCGTGTTTGATCACCGGGGACGATGGAACTTGAGAGTGAGTAGCCATGTAGAAAACACAGAGGGAAGCCACGTTACGTCGGTGAGAATGTGACTGAAGTCGAGGTGTCATGTCAGGATCGATTACATTGCAGATATTTCTTTGGGTCTTGTCAAGAACCTTGTGATGTACAGGCAGAGTGCGATGGATAAATTGTTGTCTATATTACATAAAAATGAAAAAAAAAAAAAACACACACACACACACACTGACATCTAATTTTAATAGATACATTTACTAAGATGACACAAAACTATCCTGAAATACGAAAGAGTTAAATTGATTCAATAAAATCGTCAATGGCTTCAACCACGGCCTTCAGACGACTTTGGAATCTCTTGCATCTCCTCTTGACGGTCTCATTGTTTAAGTTGATGAATGCTGTCATTATCCTTGCCTTCAGTTCATCTAAATAATATAATAAAGAGTTTTGTTGCTATCTTGCTCAAATGTGCCCCACACATAATAATAAAGAGGGTTGCAGTTTGGGGAGTTATGTAGTCATATGTTCGTGGTGATGTGCTCGCTGAAATTGTCTGACATCCATGACTGGGTTCTCCTGTTTGTGAGGCATGCAGAATCCTGTTGCCAGACGTAGTATCTTCCAACATCCACCTCCTTCACCCAGGACAGCATTACCACCTCAAGGCAATTGATGTAGGCCTCCGAGTTGAGTCTTATGCCCTCACCATCAAATTCAGGGGTTATTTTCTTATTGGAACTATCAGAGTGAGATTTCCGAGTATCTGTTCCTCCCCAATAGCCATGGGACTCATTCAAATCTTTCCGAATTCTCTGCACTATCTTGACACCCAAACACTCTGAAATGTTCGTATCGCAGCTTCCGTTGCGAATGCTCAATAGTGCAGTATGCCGTTTCCAAATTTCTGGTGGTGGGAATTGCGTCATGGTGCTATTTTCCACACAGACGTTGGCCAACTGACCCTACTATGCAGTGCCGTCGACAAAATGAAAAAAAAAACAACGCGCATGGCGACAATTTACCCATCAAATCCTATATATATATATATATATACACACACACACACACACACACACACACACACACACACACACACACACACACACACACACACACACACACACACAGTGTAGCAAAATTCTAGTGTCAGATGCTCAGCGTCCATTGCTTACATTTAGAGCAGTTTGATAAGGTTCGGATTCTATACCTTCGTCAGGTGTATGGGATTTTCAAGAAATTGTATCACAAGTAAAACGTGGAGCGACGGTGTTGCTTCGTGGCTGTGGACATTTGAAAACAAACATACCAGGATATTGATGTCCACGTTGTAAGGAGGCATTTATGAGCAGCGGTAATAGATTGCTGTGTTTTCACAGTACAAACTTGATTTAAGGTGGGCTAGAAATTTCAATGCAGACTGTAAGGAGACTTTTGCGCCTGGATTCACAAAGGAAAATGGAATAAGAAGCGGGATCTTCATGATTAGATGGCTATTAGTGCGAGCAATAAAAATGCAGAAAGACGGCTTGTGATATTTAATCGTTATGCAAAAGTATTTGATAAAATACAACACAAATATCTATTTAAAATACTTTGATAACTATTCGGTTGTTTCGTTTAATTGTTTTTGTTTAGGGACATACCAACTCTATTAATTTTTTTAAGGCCGAAATCCAAATATTTTGCACACTATTTTAAAGGCTCCAGGTACATTATGGCATATAGAATGCAAAAAATGGCGTTCAACACAATTCTATGACATCAACTACTTATATGTAATTTGTTGGTTATTTTTTATAAAAAATATATTACTGGTAATTTTACTATACAATGTAGTTTTATACTTTACTTTTTTGTTTGGAATTTCACTATTTGCTCCTAGATTGGGACCCCAACAAGGCGGACCTGGGAACAACAGCAATTAAGATGTGGTTCCACCCTCGAATCTCCAGATCAGTCTGCAGTATGTAGTTTATCGTCATATCCAGGACTAGGAAATATAAGAATATTCCATAGCTCATACCTGTAGAAACCGCATGGGAAAAGGCAAAAAAAAAAAAAAAAATCGAGATATACAAAGGGAACTAACTCGAGGATGTTTATCTTGACAGGACTTAGTCATTGGTGGGCATACGCCATTTATAAGATACAAAGATGTGACAGTGTTGCCGGGAGACACAGAAAGAAAACTGCAGAAACGAGTCAATGAAGCAAGGAAAAGAGAGAAAACAGGATTAAAGACCAATTGTATGAAGACGGGTTTTAAGATTTTCAGGAAGAGGAACAACCTAAGGTTCGATCCACGAATTAGAGATATTAAAATCAAGGAAATACAAAAATTTAAACTGGCTGGGGGTGTCTCAAGAATAGCAGACACATAAACCTAAAGGTGCATTGGAATAGTGAAAGATGCATTCTATATGCCAATGTCTCTCAAATAATGCGCCTGGCCTCACTAGTTCTCCCTGGAAGATGCTAGGTGCACACTAGCATCTTCCAGAGAAATATGTGTACAGGTATCAAAAATAAATATATTTACTTTATTATATTGCAGTACCGGTCTCTTTCATATTCATGTGAATTAAGCTGTTCTGTTGTCGTCACAATTAAATGCAAAAAGAGAGGAACTCTTCAATGTATTGAGGAGGAAATGAGAGTTTGCCTATCAAATATACGCCCAAACATTGAAGAAATCGCTAAGACTCATGAAGCACTTGTTTCTCATAAACAAGAGATCGAATAAATTGAGGTATGTTTCATTTTATATTTTTTATTGCATTATTTTTTCTGCAATATTTGGTTTCTTTATAAAATATTTTTTTCCGAAATTTGTATATAGTGCGCCTACAGTTATTGGTAGATTTCAAGTGCACCCCGACTTCAAAAAGTATGAGAACAGCTGTTATAAGTTATACGAAGAATTATGCAATAAGAAAAGATTCATTACAAGCAATGAAAAGAGTGCTGACCAGTTACATAATACCAATCTTCCTATATGGTAATATATGGACAATATACTTAGAGATGAATAGGAGATTCGGGGAAAGAGACGTGATCCGACTGAAGAATGCTGAGAATATCATTGACGTTGCATGGGACTATGAAGACATATTAAGAAAAATGGAAACAAAAAGAATCCTTATACTTAGAGACAGTTGAAATGTTTTAAGATATCTAATACGGAAAGATATCTGGATGAATTTGGCAGCCACAGATCATACTGAATAGAAGAGGTGCAAATATTCACCTAGAGTAATCGACTTAGCGTCAAAAGATGACAACACTTTTATTAGGAGGGATGGTACCGTTATTAGTTACAAAAGATAGAATGATGTGGGGAGACATGATCACAACGACAGAAGAAGAAGAAGAAGAAGAAGAAGAAGAAGAAGAAGAAGAAGAAACCATTAGTCGGACTATAGTTTGTTGTTTTGTTTTTTGTTTTTTTTTTCGGACAGGGTTGCTTGGAAAATATAGTTTTAATGAAGAGGTTTTCCATTTGTCATTCATATACATTGTCATCCACAGACAAACTGTTTCGCAGCTCATCAGTATGGCTAAACATCCGATGCCGAGATCAAAACCCGATTGATTTGATATCAGTCGGAGACTATCATTAAGCCAATGGCACACGAGACGGATGAAAGTGAATTTAGACGTATTAATTTTTAGATGAACACACCAGTGACTGGGAGAACTCGATTCGTTTAACGAAGAATCTTGCATTATGAATATAATCAAATGAATAAATATAAATAAATGTACGAGTAAGTGTTCACACACAAATACATACATATATCCTTTGGTGCAAGAAAAATAGTGTCCAATGCAAAACAACAGAGCTATTAAGTATGTATTAATAAAACAAT